GGGGGGGGGGGGTGTATAAGTGACTCCTCCACTGTCCTATGAGATTTTAAAAAGTATTAATAACTGGGAAACAAAAGGCCAGAAGGAGGATACCATGAGCAGCAGGGACAGAGGGCCCGGGAGAGCAGGAGGAGGGAAAACATGACAGATGAGCTAGAGCAGTCAGCCGGCTGGGGCTCTGAGGGATGAGAGAGTCCTGGCCTGAGGAGGTGAGGGAGGGCAGGAAGAGAGCTCCAGACAGAAGGAACAAGAGGCAGGGAGGCAGGAAAACAGGAGGCAGCTACGCAAAATGCCAAGGTTTTATGGAGGAGCAAGAACAGAGATTGCAAATGCAAAAGATAAAGTTGATTAGGAGAAAATACGCTGTCCAAAATCAGCAATAACAATCTTTAAAGAGAGTAAAATAAAGGTCTTTTTGCAGATTACTGAGCAAATTGGTGACACACGGATTTCATGATTAAGAATAAGTAACATTCTAATCAATGTCTCAGGGATCCTGAATATAAAACTCTAAGGCTAGACAAGTATATTTTCAAAGGAGGCAATGTCAAGTGAACGGTAGATCACTCTCCCCAACATGTTAAGTAAGCTTCCCTCACTGGAAGTTTTGCTTGAACCAGTGACCTAGGTAACATCAAATACTTCCCAACTTATTTTTTTCCTGGTCTAATTTTAAAAACAATTAGTTACATGAGAAGGCACATATTAGATCACTTAAGTCAGGAATCTATTATTTATCAGCAGTCATTTCAATGATTTCCAAGACCAGACTGGTTTCAAGGTGGAATCCATGTGTATCAGAAGTAAATACGATTACAGATAGGTCTAAGGGTGCCCACACTTTAGTACATTTTTCATCCTCTAGCCAAATCTTAAAAAGCTACTCCACAGAGGAAGTTCTCAAACAGAAATTCTATGAATCAGAACTCACTTCACTTTCTCCTTAAAACCAAAGAGCCAAGTTCAAAAAAGATCCAGAAAATATCACAAGCCATCTGCCAATGTCAAATGGTGACTTCTTGAAATAGGAAAAAAGTCCCTGCACACTGTTTCTCTATCCTTCTAGTCCCAGTGGATGCTCCCTGCATCAGTACAAAACTGGATAACACTAGCCCAGGCCAGGCGAGCTTACCATATACCACATGCTTGGCCACTTGGGATCATTGAAGTAAGTAGACTGGGCATGACTGAAGTCGTAATCCCTCTTGGTCCGTTTTTTCACCACTTGCTGTTGGATCCACTCCACCTGCCAAGAAGAAGGACATCTGGTGAATGTTCAGTTCCATCAGGTTAGCACAAGCGTAAGTGACAGCATTTCCCACCTTGAGTCAACTCCGTTTAAGTCACAGGCTTCATTCTGGCAACTAAGATCTTTGAGTCCAGGGGCTCAGAGATGCTCTAAAAATCTAGTTCTATTTTATTTATTATATGCAGGTTGGCTTTTTTATCTTTTATGACAGATCATTCATCTCTCTCAATAATATGCTAACCTTTTAGTCTTTTCACAAAGCATACTCCATTCACAATTTATTGTGAATTGATAGTGTCAATTTTTAAGATAATTTTTTCATTCTTACCTTATCTAAATGTCAGCAAACTTTTCCTATAAAGGTCCAGATAATAAATATTTTAGGCTTTGCAGGTCATATGATCTCTGTTGCAACTACTCATTCTGACATCATAGCACCATAGGCATATAAATGTATGGGAATGACTGTGCTCCCAATAAAACTTTATACACAAAAACAGGAGGCAGGCTGGCCAGATCAGGCCCACAGGCCACATTTTATGATCCTTGCCTTATGCTATACATCAAAAATTTTAAATGTTCTAGGGTTAAACATCAAATTTAAAAGTCACCCTGGGATCAAATGCTCTAGGATCATCAATTTTCAAAAAATGGCTTTCTACAACATAGTGTGGTGGAAAAGCACCATTTTGTAGAATCTGAAAACTAAAGCCCTAGACCTGTCTCTGGCAAAATACTGGAGCAGTCACTCAATTTCCTGAGCTATAGGATCCTTACTGGCTCTAAAATTCAATTCAAATCTACCACATTTGAGAAAGACTTAATATTTCACTGCAAACTTTGCTTAAACAAAGCACTTGGAACTTTGAGCTTAACACAGGATTATGATCTAAATGGCAGAGGTATGAATGGAGGTATTTTTAAAAATAGGTAATCATTATGTCAACATAAAAATAAGCATGTTTCATTTTGAATGCAACATCGCAAATGTTGTGTCAATAAAAAATGTAGAATGCCCTAGCTAATCTAGTCACAATGCTCTAACATATTCTGTTCCACCATTTATCCCTACTCTTCACAAAGGAATTAAAAACTGGGAGGATGCGGAGTACTCTGTAGTCCACTACTGTGACTCCATACCCATGCATTCAGTAAAGATTTCAAAACCTCTCTTGCCTACTTGATTAAAGATTATTGGAAGAGAAGGGATACTAAAATACTGATTAACAAATTCAAAGTGCAACAGCTGTAGATAAGATAGAAAAGGCTAAAAGCCAAACTAATAAATTTCTATGACTCTCATATTGGGAAATATATTCAACAGGAATATTGGTATGCAAGATGAGTTTAAATAATAAATTCCTAACATCACTAACAAAGCAAACTGAATCACGTGGCCTCCTAAATAAATATCCAATCTCTTTATGATTAGGATCACAGCTAAGCCTCAAGTATGTGCCTGCTCTGATAGGTAATTTAAGCAAAATTTGTACAGGAAGAAAGCCAATAAGTGAAAAGTAATACCTGGAAAAATAAGTTTTTCTGATCATGTTTTAATTAATTTAGACCAAGTGACTCTCTGGCACCGAATCATTCTATACCCCTCCAACATCCCCCCCAACACACACATACATACACACACATATTATTTCTTCAAACTAATGGACATTAGTTGTCAGGGAAGCTAAGAGAAATCTTGTTTTTTCTTTAATCGCAGAGACTACTTTTTAGAAATTACATCGAAACTAATGTGCCATTAAAAATGTGTGTAAATTTATTTTTAATAGAGAGAATACATTTTAAGTAACTGTGTTTTTAAAAATATAGGAAACAAATCAATTCCCTTCTCAATCAAAGTGGAACAGCAAGCTTGGGCATGTATATACTTTTCTATTTCCAGGAAATATTTTAATTTCTTGATTTCAATCTTTCTATGGAATGAGTTTCATTCACTCATTTATTCATCCAAAATAGCGTAAGTGCCAATTCTATCACAGACACTGTGCTGGGAATATGAAGATGAGGAAGAACAGTCTTTGCCTTTGAAGGACTTAACATTTTACCAAGGAATATTTAGCAGGTACTCCACAACTCTCCGCTTGAAATTACCACTATGACTGCCATCTGGTGCAGGCTCTATTACTGCATGAATTGGACCATTTATGAACATTTTGACTATGCAAATTACATTTGCAATCCTTAGGCTACTGTGTATAAGTCTTATTCCAACAAGACTGAACGATTTCCTCTTTGCACGCTTGGTAAAAGGTGGCTACAGGTCTGTTTAGAGAGAATTCTTTGGAAACTAATCCTACATTGGCAGTGGCCTTTCCTAACAGAACCTCCATAAATTCCGAACTGCCAACATATATGTGTCCATAAACCAGAAAGTGTCAAATCTCCCCCAGTGCGGACTCAGTAAAGAGATTACTAGAGAAAAGGCCAGGTCAGTACTGAGGCGGGTGTGGATAACAGTTCCTACCATGAGGCTTCTACAACCCACTTCGCCCTGCACCTCCCCGCCCCCCGCCCACACACAGATGAATGGTACATGTAAGTATGTGAGAAAACCAGGAGACAGCCACTTGCCTAGATGAACTATAGGTACTAAAATAGAACAAAATATCTTACCAAACAGTGTCTCTTCTGTAATTTTACCAAACAAAAATGCTTATTTACAGGGCTTGGTGGCTAGAAGGTGGTACAGCGACTTGGCATCTAGATTTGACTATAAGTCACTCTGTCTGATCACAGGGCTGCAATACTCGAGAAAAGTACAGTGGGGATTTTTTTAGAGTCAGATACCATGTATTTTGCCTTGGTGCTTTATGAGTATGCAGATATAGCCCTACAATTTTTGGAAAGTGGGAAAAGCACCTCTTGGATCGGAAGACTTCTATGACTGGAAAGACCATATTTATATTTTTAAACTAGTATCCATATGTCTGTCCTTGAGCCCTTGAAGAAAAAGCTCAGAAGTAATGCGTTATACAGATTTCATTTCTTGCCAAGAAGCCCAACGCAAAGAAAAGACACTTAGAAATTCATTTTCATAAAACTATGGTCAGTCCAGAATTAAAAAACAGTGGGCTTTCCCACACTGGTTTAACTTCTAAGAGTGCTACTTCCTATATATTATGAAACTGCAGTTAACCTGGAGTATAAAAACCACATGAGCTTAAAATCTTCAGTGTACCGTCCGTTAATTTCAACATACGTGTGCTCCAGGGTGTTAAGGACATTCTCTCCCTTTATTCACAGAGCTCTCCCTCCTCCCTACACAGTCCAAGTGAACATCGGGCCTTCTCCTCTTCAGAGTCTTTGCTAAAGATGTTCCCTTTCATCAGATTTCACTTGTCAAGAAAAACATATTAACTGATAATTAGGAGATCTACCCCCACAATCTCAGTGGAACTTATAATTCATTATTTTGGAATTTACCAGCTTTCTGATACCATATGCCTGGGGAAGGCAATTTGTCAGCAATAGGGAAAAAATGTAATCATACGAATATACATTCTGTAAGTTATTACATAAATATAAATGGAAAACATAATATGGTATCATGAGAAAGACAAATACTGCATGGTATCACTAAAAAAACTCATGGAAACAGAGAATAGAAAAGTGGTAGCCAGGGGCTGGGGGCTGGGGGCCCCCGGGAGAGGCTGGTAAGAGGGTACAGATGTTCAGCTAAAGATGAGTGAGTTCTGAGGCTCTAATGTGAAACACGGCGACTATAGTTGATAACACTGTGCCGCAGAAGTGAAACGTGCTGAGAGTAAAACAAATATGTTCTTACATACACACACACAGATAAACATGTGAGGTGATGAATATGCTAATTAAGTAGATGGGGGAATTTTTTCATGTGTGTGTATATACAAATTACCATGATGTACACTTTTATCTTACAACTTTATATGTCAATTATGCCTCAGCAAAGCTGAAATTTAAAAAACATACATATGGTATTACTTTAAAAATGTGTCCCACAGTAAAGAGGAATCAGCTTTTTAGATGTTAAAATATACCAAAGCTAATGATGAAAATATATCCCGGTAGCAAGTATCTACAGATACATCAATGGAATGCAACAGAAAGTAAAAAACAGACCCAAAGTATCTAAAGAAGGGTGCCACCCTAAATCAATTGATTACTATCATATAATCCCATGATTTCAAATGTGACCAAATGCCTACATTACAACATATCTTTTAAAAAGCAATAATGAGAAATATACTGTGTAAAAATTGTTTTATATTATGTTCTAGTAAAACAATTATTGAGAAAAGATGGATAAATAACAAGAAGTGGCTGGAATTTGGGGAACGTGGTTTATCATTTTGGATTTGCCACCAGCCACCTGTGTGACCTTGTAAAATCTTTGTGGGCCTCTTTTATCTCTAAAATGAAAGAAGACAGACTAAACATGCTTTCTCGTCTAACTTTGAAATTTTATCTATATAGTCTCTTCTGTGATTTGACCAAGAATAAAAAGTTTATGTGAAATGCAATAGAGAGGTGGGGTAGGTGCTCCAGTTGATAAATGATCTTAAGTCATTCTGTGAAGAAGTAAGATTAATATTTGAAAGGGAAGGTAGTAAATTATACTACTCCTTTCATGATTTGAATGAGGCTGTTGCCGGAAAATAAAATATATGAGATTCTGTGTTTTTTAAAATTTTTATTAGCTTTGACAAAATGGGGGAAAAGAGCGTAAAGAGATTTCTCCCTCTATTTTCTTCCTGAAAACAAAATAGAGTGGCCTTGATTTTAAAAAAGTACAACTTCAGTGTATAATGGCCATGTACTTTTTGTTATGGAAGACAAAAGGATGGTGAAGACAATTAAGTACCCACAAGCTGCTCCCAAGCCCTAAAATCTGAAGCCAACATAGCCCAAATGTTTTCTAAAATTCTGGTCAAGAAATCAAAGTCAATGAGTGAAAAAAATCAGAGAATCTACTAAGAGTATGTATTTAGGTAAGAGTATTC